CATAGTCATACCAAAACATAAAGAGTTCATCGTCGTATATCTTCATCTGGTCTTCATTCATTTTAGATATATAATGTTTAAGATTAGATTATAATTTTTCTTTGTCATTGTTCAACTCCTCTATCAAGAAACTATTTTAAAATCTATTATGTCGAATGTCATCACAGAATTGCATACTATTAAACTCTTTTCATACTGATCTTTATATATATAATAAAAATTATTTTTTTAAATAAAAATACCCTAATTATGCAATATTTATCTTCGGTCAAATAAATCTCATCAACCAAGAGATTCTATGATTTTTGCCAAACAACTTAAGAACGACTCATGATATTTATCAATAATAATGTGACAAAAAACTTTTTATTTATTTTTTTTATTTCAAAATTCTATTTAAATTAAAGGGTAATTTTATTTTGATTTCAAATTTTTTAAGTAATATTTACATTGGTTTGTATATTTAGTTTATGTTGATTATTTGTTGGAAAAAATCTATAGAAAGTATGTAAGTGCTCAATGTATCCACGCTAAAATGTAATACATTGAAAGGGGAAAAAGTTAAAAATGGAAAAAATATTGTTTCTTTATTATATAACCACATGTCTTATTTATACATTGATGCACACACTCTTAAATGCACAAACATTTTTTAGTAACTTCAATATATAAAATGTATTTTTGAACATATTCTTGCTATTTATAATGACCATATTCCAGAATAGTGCTAGAGATTAACACCAGCGTTTTGGATAAAAATTTAACATTGCAGATTGCTTTGAAAATGCTAACGCTAAAACGCTGCCCGCAGATAGCCTTATCAAAACACAAACGCTAAAATTTAATGAAGTGTCAAAATTCTAAATAGTTTTATTTAATTACAAATATGAATTTTAGTTAGAGTCTCAAATTTATATCCTCTGTATAAAGGATAAATGATTTTCTTTCAAAGGAAAGTAGATGGTGAAGGAAATCTAGTTCCGATCAATTGGCTGCGAATCAATTCGAGAATGGAAAGCTGCGATTGTTTGGGAAGGAGAAGGAAAGTTCCTATTTTTTACGCTATTCTGTGTCGAAAGAGAGCAGATGGAAAAAGAAATTTTTCTTTTGCAGATTTTTTGTTTAATGCCCCTCAAATTGCCACATCACCACTATTTGTCAAAAATGTTGACACATAAGCTCCACCACATGTCACCCTTTAGATCCGCCAAATGTCACGCTCCTGCAGCTCGGAGTCTGCTTTATATATATGAAGGATAAAGGATATGAAAGGTAACCACGGTTGGGAGGGCAACGGAAATACAAAAATTTATGCTCCCAATAGTGATTACTAGCCCAAGAACACGTACTAAAACTATAGCTAGAGATAGAAACTTATACCTTCTCCGGTTAGCGGTAATGACGTTGAATCGGAGAAAGGCGTTGAATGAGCAAACGCAGTCGTTCAAGCGTCCCGCCTCCAACTTTGACACACGAACAATCTCCGGAGTCTACTATAATCTTTATGCTAGTAAAGATTATAATAGTATATTTTAATATAAAGATTATTTTAGGGATAATATAAATCTTGTATATTAAATACTAGAAAATATATCAATAATATTTTAAAGAAAATATTATGTCAATTTTCTACACCCAAAATAATGATTTTGGAAACCAAAATTATTTCCCCTCTCTTGCTCCTTATTCTTCACGCATGTTTTTGTGGGAAAGGGAGGGGAGTATATTTAATGTATATCATCATCATCAAAATAATAATGGTATGTAACATACATACATATAAAAAGGAAAGTACAAAAGTACTTTAAGGCATGATGGGAACAAAGCCACCCATCCATCCCATATGTATAGTACGAAAGTAGAAAGGGGTCTTCTCCTCTCAAATGTTTAAATGTTTAAAGTGTATTTTATTTGACATCAATAATTTTTATGATATAAAATAAAATACCCAAAACATTTTAAAACAAGTATATAAAATATACTTTAAAATAGTTTTTGTCAATATAATTATTTTCATAATTAAAATGACACTCCAAAATAAAATGTAAACAATATAATATATAATGTAATATGTGTGTGTGTGTGTACACGGTTAAAAGCAATTACATATATGCATAATATATATACACGTACGTACTTATGTATACAAATATACATATGTGGGTGGCATGTACAATGTATACATATATATATGTATATATATATGTATATATCGTGTACAATACACACACACACATACATACATTTATATTATATTAAACATTTTATTTTACTATTTTACAATATACAAATTAAATATTATCCCTTCTTATAATCCTACTCTTTAAGTTGTTCAAAGTGTGTGACCTATATAGGCACTTATAAAACTGGCCACAGTATTGACTCTACATCAATACTATAAGTAATAAGCGGTATCTAGTAACACATTATTACCCCCAGATTATAAGTTCTGACGTTTGCTCCGTCAAAACCTTTCTACGACTAAGACTTTGTATAACGTAGATCCTTTTGTCCCAATGTCTTAACTTAGTGCAAGGGATATTAAATAGCCAACTTGTAGCCATTAAGTTATTTACTGATTAACAAGTCTCACTGATGAGAACAGATGTCTAAACTCATCTCAGCATCGCCATGCATTTCCTCAGTCATACTTGTCAGTGGGCCCTACAAGACATTATTCTGCTTATGTAGCAGTGACAAATTCTTTGTGCGTAATCTACGTCTTCGAATACGCGCGCAACGGAAGTATTTCTGTCGCAGACTCTCGTCGCAAATGCTGGCGGGTCTTTCTTGCCATGCTAGTGCCTAAATCACACCATGCGATCGCTTTTAGTCATAAAAACCTTATTACTTCCATACGCAAATGTGCGACGAATTTATTTTGAGGAAAAACATGCAGTTTCTTGTAGTTAGAGATTGCACATTGTGCAAAACTTGGTGATTTATTAACAGGTTTGCATGTTGGAAAAACTATGAGAAGTTGGAAGAAACTAGAAGAATTTAAAAGAAACTGAAAAGAGTAGAAAGAAAGCATAAGGAGTTTGAAAAAAGTAGGAGTTGGGAAATTTTTTTTTGAAATAATTAATATTTTTAATTCATTTCATATTTTGCATTAAAAATTCTGGATTTCTAACGATGTTAATTTTTAATTAGAGATTATTGATTTCACATGATTTGTATTGTTTCTCTACTTATGCAAAAGAATAACTTAGATACGACAAAAAAAACTAGGTATTTTTATTTCAAAAAATTAATTAAATAACTATATTATTTAAAAAAATCTCCCTTATAAAGGTGAAAGATAACCATTACAAGTATAGTTTATGCCATAAAAAAATCTCCCATAACAAATATAGTTTATGCTCATTTATTACTTACATAATTATTGATGAAATAAAATAGCGTGTGCAACTATTTAAATGATTACAAGTTGCATTGTGCATGTCTTAAAAAAATGATCTAAGGAAAAATAATTATTACATTTACTTCATATATAATAATGAAGCTACTACTATACATTGTTAAAACCAGTTTCAGATAAATAAAGAATTCACTTTCTATTTGGCTCCTAAGCTTGTATCGCTTTGTCTTAAAAACATATCCTTTTTTACAAAAAAAAACAATTATACAAATGTCCACTTTTTATTTTATTATTCGTTTCAAATAAATATTTTATTTGTCCCATTACTCTTATATCTTTTTTATTTGACTTTTCATGGTCTAAGATATAATATTTTGACCATTAAAATCTCTATTTATATATAAACACATCTTATTTAACTAATACTTATTTTGAGGACAAAGGGGGTTTTTAAAAAATTATGTCATAACAAAAATACTTTCTATTAATCTACCAAGATATATAATAATAACCGTACTAGTAATAGTAATAATAACAACAACAATAGATATCTTAAATTTATATTTTATATTACTGTTTCTAAAAGTTTTATTTTAAAATTTCAGTTTTTTTATTTTAAATTTTTAATTTTTAGTGTTTAGTTTTTAATTTTTAACTTTAAAATAAATATTTTTATTTTTTATTTTTATGTTTTCAATATTTTGTTTTTAGTTTTAGTTTTTTATTTGACTTTTTCATTTTCAATTTTAATATTTTAAATTTTAAGCTTTAAGTTTTAAAGTTCTAAATTTTAAATCTTATTTTGGAATTTTTAATTTTAAACTTTAAATTTTTAATTTTTAATTTTAAACTTTAAATTTTAATTTTTAAAGTTTATATTTTAAATTTTAAAATTTAAGTTTTAAATTTCAAATTTTAAGCTTTAATTTTTTAATTTTTAGATTTTAAACTAAAGCTTCAATTTTAAGTTTTTTATTTTTAAATTTTTAGATTTTTAGTGTTTAATTTATAAGTGTCATATCATTTTTATCTCCACAAGGATCTGTGTCATTTGATTTTAGCTCGTAGAATTCAATTTCTGAATTTCCAATTCTTTTCATGTGATATGGAATTTAAAATGTAGAATTGGAAGATTTGGAATTAAAATTCAATTCCAATTCCATATATTTTTGTATAACCAAACAATAGAATTGGAATGGAAGTATTCAATTCTACTTTCATTATCTGAATTCGATGTAGCAAACGAGTCTTGATCTTTTCTCAGAAACTCTCTATTTCATCACGTGAGCTTATTTTCGAAAGAATATGATTCACCCAATTTCTATGAAAAAAATGAAAGAGGGGAAAGAATTTTTCATTGGTTGGTGTTCACATTATTTTAGAACAAGAATGGTAGAGTCGTCCATTGATTCCCGACCGCAAAACTGACTATTACCGAAGTTCCATGAATTTCTTTTCGCCCTCTAGTCCCTATAATCAAAACACCCATTCAATTCTTTTCCTACCAGCATTCATCGCCACCCTCCCATCGATCTCAGCCCTCTCCCATCTCAACATAGCAAATATTATATATATATATATATATATATATATATATATATATATATATATATGTATTCAAGATAACATCTTTTTTACGCATTCACATACGTAGAGAGAGGCAATCAGGTTAATAAACATGGGAGGGTGTGCGTCCAAGCCTAAGGTTAAGGAGGGGGACATCGCAACAAAACCTCTAGTTCCAGAGAAGAGAGATGACTTCGCCGCCAAAAACACGGTGGTCGAAAAGAACCTGGTGCTAGAAAAAAGAGATGACTTCGCCGCCAAAAACACGGTGGCCGAAAAGAAGCTGGTGGTAGAGGACGACAAGGATAATCCTACCAAGCGTTTTTATCCCAACAATAGTTTTACCCAGGTACCAATATACTTTGTTATCATGTATAAAAAATAATACTCCCTCCGTCCCAAAGAGAATGAGACGATTTGACTTTTTGGGAAATTAAGGGAGAGATATTTTGGTATTGACTTTCCAAAAATACCCTTGATGTGATGGGTAAAAGTAGGATGTGATGGGTAGATTATTAGAAAAAAAGTATGATGTAATAGGTAGGGTATGAAAAAGTAAGGGGTAAAAGTGGTTTTTAATAGAAATGTAACGGACTTTACGGGACGCAATTTTTTCTAAACGTAACAAACTTTTTGGGACGGAAGGAGTATAATTTAATTCAATTCTTAAAAATGTATTTTTGACATTTCAAATTTTTATGATAATTATTTACTCCCTATGTCTTGTAGTAATGTTCGACATTTTCTTTTTGAAATATTCGCACTAAATAGCACTAAAACTTAAGTCATTTCCCTAAATAGCACTTAAATTGTTTTATTCCCTAAATAGCACCTAATAATGTCCATAATGTCCTGTAAAGGCAAATATTTGCTTGAATAATGACTAATACATAATGACTAAAAGTGCTACATTAGGAAGAAAAATACATGTGGTTTTATTTGGGGAAAGTCATTATGTTTTAGTGCTATTTAAGTAAATTTCTCTTTCTTTTTCGCCAGTTCCAAGAAAGGTTCCTTTTTTCCGCTATGAAAATGTTTTTACATATGGGTATCATCAATCCAAAATATTTTAATCTCTGTGCCTGGCTAATTGTGGAATATAATATTATTCTAGGACAGATGAAGTATTTAAATTTATATAATTTAATTTGTGAACAGATTTCAATGAGGGAGGAATTACGTGAACCGTCCAAATGTGAGCCTCAAGAGCCAAAATCTAGAGAAGAACACACACAACCTCTAGTGGATTCAATTGATTCCTGTGGCAAAATGGCACCAGATTCATCACCAAAATCAAAAGAGAAACTAATAGCACAAGAAATCAAAACACTCTTACTTCAAACCACTCTGAAACCTGAAGAGAATGTTGCAAAAGAGACTCTTCTTGGCCTCCCAAAAATTGAAAATTATTCTTCAAGGAGTAATAATAAAACCGAGGAGAAGCAAGAAGAAAACACCTTGAAACCTGAGATTCTTCATGACATGGGTACTAAGCAAAAGCCCATAGAAGAGAGCACCCCAAAAATTGAGACATCTAATGATGAACTAGAAGAGAAGCACAATAAGAGTCTCATGGAAAATGTAATTATGGACAAAGATGTAAAGAATCCATTGAAGCTTGAAAGGTTTCCAGATGAGAAAACAGAACATATTCCACATGACGAAAACACCTTGAAACAAGAGAGTCTTATAGAGAACACAACTATGGAGAAACCTATAGAAGAGGCCTCCACACCTGATAAGGAAAAAGAAGAGAATCATGCAGAAGAACACACCATGAAACTTGAGAAGAACACTGAGGAAGAATCTTTAAAGCATACCCATAAGTATGACGGTTCCGAAGAAGAAAACATTCTCGAGACAAAAATGTCTTATGAGGAAAAACTCATCCAAGAAAATAATAAAAGTCATGATGTGATTAAAATGGAGGAGGATCACGAGGAAAATTTCACAAAATTGGAGACCCAACCAGGGGAGAGAGTAGAAGAAAACATGAACCCCCAACAACCCGAAATACCCCGGGAGAAGGAAACAGAGACTATGCTCTTGGACCGAATTCTCATGAAGGAAATGGAAGAGAAGTGGCTAGGGAGATGAGAATTGTATTGAGTTGCATAATAAAATGAGAGATCAACTAATCAACCATGAAACATTGTACATCGAGACACCTTAATGCATTCTTGTAAAACAATGATAATTTTAGTTTCAATTCATTGTTCAAACATACCGTAGAAATACATATCATGGCTTGAGAAAAGAATATAATATACATGCATTCATTATCTTATATAAAGAAGGGTGATTTTTTCCACCTTTTTTTCACAGGAGGTACCCCAACTTTAGACGTTGTAACAAAAAGGTACATCATCTTCTTTTGTAACAAAAACATACCCCATCTTTAAAAATCATAGCAAAATAGTGTCTCTTGATCGGAAATGTGAAAATTCGGAGAAAAAAAATCCGAATTGGCATCCATGTTGGCTTTTTTCAACTCCTACGTGTTATCTAGGTGCCTTTTCTTTTCATAGTATGAGTAATTTTTTAAAGCTTTTAAGGCAACATTTTAATGTTCAATACATAGAAAAGAACTTTTTTCCCAGTAAGTTGACATATTTGTGTGGTTAATGTCAAATGAAAATATAAGATTAATTTAAATTAAATTAAACATGTATTAAAAGTACAATTAATTCATTGCAAACAAGTTTCTTTATTATTATTATTATTTCAAATATAGTTTTATTAAAAAAGAAAAAAATTACAACAAACATGGGACGACCAGGCCCGCCCAATCAATATCGAAGGCCCTGTGCATTTTTATATATTTAGGTTCTAAAGTTAAAAATTATGAAGTGTATTGCGAACGTTGTACAAAAATGCATAAGTATATTTTATATTCTTGTTTCATTATAAAATTATAACTTGAATTTACGGACTTAAAAGTCCAATTTCCATCAAAAGTATTAAGTAGCTCGATTATTATTGATAAATATTTATATTAAAATTGTTAGCTAATAGACATTAAGGAAGAAAGAATCAATAAAATAAACTAGTTTAAATGGAATAATTACAAAAAATAGCAAATACATGTATAAGGAAAAAGTATATTAACTTATAGAAAATAAAAGTGAGGACAACTTGGTTAGAAGGTTAATTTCAAATATCATTATCATTTATTTTAAGATTAATCAATTANTATAGAATTTTTCCAACACTTATAAAAACCAAGATTAAAATTTTATGTGGTTGAGAAAATAAAAACAAAATATTGCAATAAGAAAACTTAAAATATTTTGTGAGAGTGAAAATAAAAACAATTAACTATTCTAATACTCCTTTCATCATAACTTAATTTGTCCATTACTATTTACTTTAGAATATACTTGATCAAAATTATTTTCACATCAATTTATTTGAAAATAATAATAAATTAAAAAATAAAAGTTATTTACTTAAAAATTATATAAAAAATTTTACGAATCAAAATATGATATGACTATATTATTTTATTAAATTAATAATAAAAATAAAAAATGAAAATTAATAATGTAAATAATAAATATGTAATTTAAATTAAGAAGGATAGAGTATCATGGAAGAAAAATAAAAAATAGGCCCCTTGTAATTGGAGGCCCTGTACAAGTGTACCTCATGAACACCCTCATGGGCGGGCCTGGGGACGACGCAGTCCCCATCAACATAGCCAAACCCAAAAGTATACATAAAATAGCCAACATATTTTTGCTAATGTAAAATTCTAAGAAAAAAATGTTGCCCAAAAAATTTTTGCTAATGTAAAAATAAATTTTTATTTATTGAACAAGAAAAATGTTGCCTTAAAATTTTGAAGGGAAAATATTACTCGTACTATGAAAAGAAAATGCACCCAGATAACACGTAGAAGAAGATAAAAGCCAACTAGATTGCTAACTCAACATGTGTTCGCCAGATTATTAAAGTTCCGACCAAGGGGTACCATTTTGTTATAGTTTTATAAGATAGGGTATGTTTTTGTTACAAACAGAAGATAGAGTACCTTTTTGTTACAACGTCCAAAGTTGGGGTAGTTCATATAAATGTAAGTGCAATAAATAAAGTCTCATCAATCGTAATAACTTTAATGGATTTGACTTCAGTTGTAATTTTCTTGTGTGAGAAAAGTGACTAATGTATTTAGCTTAAAGGACTCACCTTTAGAATTTTGAGTTTTCAAGGCTTGAACATTAGGCCGTGGGGTGTGGGTTCAGGATAGCAAACGTGGTGCGCCATCCCGACAGGGAACACTACCCCCAATCGAGATTCGGCTTGGCCAGTGTCCAGACGCCGAGACCCGCGAGCTCTTTTTCCAAAAGGTTTTAAACAAAATTGGAAACGATTTGGACAAAAATGAAAAAATTGTCAAAATGGTCACTAGGTACCTAGGTACCGTGAGTAGGTACCGTGAGTCAATCTGAGAAGGTAACCCCTACCGTCAGCACGGGACCCCCCTACCATCTGGACGAGACCCCCCTACCGTAAGGGGTACTATAAGAGGATAGGTACCGTCAGAGAGTTTTGGCCTGAGAAGGTACCTAGCTACCGTGATAGGGTACCATTACCGTTGGAACACTATTCCTGATTGCTGATTTTTGAATTAATTCAACCCTAATCACCTCCTAACGGCTAATTAACATCTTCCACTATAAATATAGGCCTAATACTTCATATTTGAACAAAAACAAAGCTCCAAACATCCTCCCTTTATATTCTAAGTGTGTTCATTCTTTCATTCATTATTTTCAATATTTTGGCTATTTCAAGAACCTTAAATTCCTGATTTTTATACACACACTTTGAGCTTGTGTTTCTAGTTATATACTCTCTACCAAACCATTTTGAAACCAACTACATACTACTTTAAGAAGCTTTTACTGTCTTAAAATCAACAAATCAAGAATTCTAAATTTCATTTGAGAGAATTTTTGCAGTCAAATAGAATATTTAACAAGAAAAACAATAAAACTCAAAATTTATAGAAAGGAATGTAATACCAAAAAGCCACAAACATTATACTAGAAGAAACATAACATTAATAGATGGAATGTCATTACAATATATTTGCTCAAAACTACAAAGCTATTAAAAAGAAACTATAAAAGTTTTACAACATTCCCTTTACAACAAAATCTAAACAGCCCAGCAATGCACATTCCTTTAAAATATCATCATCAGCACTGCCAGCATAGTCATTCCACCAATCATTTTCCAAACAAATTTGTCATGGGTGAGCTCTTTTTGGATTTCAACACAATCCTGCAAAAAAAACATGATTTTTCAGCTTCATATTCTTAAGGAAGGTAAAAAAATTTAATCAATTAAAAAATTTAAAATTATTAAACGTACCTTGAAATTAGGGTTCAAGGAATATCTTCTCCCATGATTTCTCTTGTTCTCGCAGATTCGAAGGGCCAAAGTGTGGCCACAATCCTAAGGGAGGACTATAATTGTCACCAGTGAATATAATTGGTGTTAGAGCTTCTTCTATCTGCGCGACTGGGAAGAACGAAGAGTGCTTAGGAGATGTGACTAGGGTTTACTGGGTGAGTATGTTTTAAGTGGATACTAACGGAAGTGAACGGCTTTAGACTTTTAGACGTGAAATGGAAGCAATAATACATTCTGAGGGTGGGTTATGATATTTAAGAAAAGTGAGGGTGCATTCTAGCTTTTTTGAGGGTGTATTTTGCTTTTTACCCATTTATTCTTTATTTACGCCATTTGGGGCCAGTTTCTTCTTCGCTTTCCATCGCCGGTCAGGACCGTCTCTTCCTCTGTCTTCTCCGGCGACTATCGTCCTAGCCACATTGTCCCTTCCCTGCTGCGCGGCAGATTCCGACGGGAGGCAACAGTAGCAGCGGTGACTTCTTCCCCAAATTCAAGGTTCGATTTCTTTAATTGTCAAGGTGAGTGGTGTCTATCGTTGGCTTTAATTCGTAGATTAGAATCTTATTCGTATGAATCTTGCAATTCTTTGTGGAATTGGACAATTTGATTGTTGATTGGGTTTGTGCTTGCTATATTTGGGCCGGATACGGGCTGGTGGTTGGCCGGAGAAAGTGGCGGCAGCCGCTGGTTGGGTTTTGGACCCAATTTGGTCCAGTTCGGTCAAATTGGATGCAATTGGACTGATTTGGGTTCAATTGAATGTAATTGGGTTGATTTGGGTTCAATTGGGTGCAATTGGACTGGTTTGGGTTAAGTTGTATGTAATTGGGTTGAATTGGGTGCAATTGGGCTGATTTGGGTTCAATTGTATGTAATTGGGTTGATTGGGTCTATTGGGTTGTAATTGGATTTGTTTGGACTGAATTTTGGTTGATGGATGACTGTTGGGTGAACTTGAGCCCGATTGGGCCAGTTAGGCCGGCTGCCCGGGTTGGCAGCAGGGCTGCCCAGCAGTGGGCAGCCGCTTGGTGGGCCCGGGGTTGGGGTTTTGGGGCTGCCAGGTTGGTCCGGCGGGTTGCGAGGCTGATCCGGTAACTATTGTACTGTTCCGGCAGGTGCAGCGGGCATGAGGATAGAATCCTTGAACCCGAATCTGCGACACGGATATGGTTATTTAATGTTGTTTGGATATTTTTTTGTTCTTTGAGCATGACGGTAATCGGTGAGACGTGGTTCTCCCAATAGGCCGCAGATTGTACAGTTCTGATTATGTGAATTGTTATAATCTTATTGGTGTTACTGTAGAACTGTGAACTCTGTTGAGAATAGGCCACCTAGTATACCCAGGCGGATTTGAACTAAATTGAATGTCTTAGACACCAGTAATTTTGTTTTGTTCGAGCCTTGTGGAGCAAGTCTGCATATCTACTGGCCTAGGGTTCAAAATGTACGTACGGGAGTCATTGTCCTACCTAAGGGATCCCTTGGCAAGGACTCCAACCCGCCCATTGAGGATCCTCTTTGGATTTGTCCGAGCATCAGCCTCGAAGGATCCGCTCGAGTGTCCGTAACTCTTGTTTGTTGAATTGTGTTTTAGTGATGTAGGTTCAGTATTAATTGGTTGTGAGGAACTGAATTGAATTGTTGGAATTTTGACCTTGAACAATAATGTTGTCTATTTACTTTTGTTGCTTGATTTTGTATGAATGTGATATTGTCTGTAAATTAATTCTAGCGGTAGACATATTCTCACTCAGCTTTCAGCTCAGCGTGTAGTCTGTGTTGTCTTTGACTACATGCAGGTATTTGTTGAGCTACTTTTGGAGGACAACGAGAAGGAAGGGGATGTTTTGGATGCAGGATTGCTAGAATTTAATGGGTTAATTTTCTTAAAATCATGGTATGATTATTAGCTTCCGCATTGTTTTGGAATAGCTCCGATAAATAAAATAATTGTTTTTGAAATGTTTAGCTTTTATTTAGATGCTTCTAAATGTTGGTGGTTGGATACCAATTTAGTAGTGACTTGATTTGCTAACTCGCTGGTTTGGGTTACGCAGATTGGGGTGTTACATGTCCCCTTACTATCGAAGGACCCTTTGCACTCCGAGATCACCCATTATATACGATGAATTAGACCACCTTAGTCTCACAAATGAGACTAAAAAATTAAGGGTGGTATCTGAAAAATTGGATACCTAGTATGTACATTATATTATGTTCAAACTATGTGACATCTGACTAACAAGTCCCGCACGGTCATGCTTTAAGAGGCGCATGTGGCATATGACCTTTTACGCAAGATGAGATGATATGCTTTCAACATGGATTTGTGAATGTATGAAGCACAATGGTATGGACACTTGCAATCAACATGAATATATGAACATACATAAGTTCACTGGAAATAACATCATTCAAATGTCAATTTGATATATCACAAGTTTCACAAAACTTAGTTGGGACAGAAACTAGGTTCGTAACTGAAGACTATTTGGCACGGCAGTTGACCGTGTTGATGATCTTTGAGGACCTCATGACTGCCAACGTGACGGCCGACCATTGCCTTTCGGCAGTCGACCGTGGTGACATACCTGACGGTGTCCGTTTTCAACGGAGGACCGTTTCTCCTAGGTAATGGACTTTTCATTGTACTGTAGATCTCGTTGTTTATCTAAGCCCGTGACGGTCGATCGTTGCCTTCCGGCGGTCTACTGATTGATGGGTATTGGGCAAAAATATGCTCAGGTGATCAATCACGAGGCATTGTGATCGATCACCTGCAGCTTCTGGGTGCTGATTCTGTGGTTTTCTTGCTCCGGACTTGGTCGTATCAACTAGGAATCATTTCGTCGGTCTAATAAGGCATGTAGACGTGTATTTCATATAATCAAACAATTGCCAAATCTTGAGGTTATCCTCAATATGCAAGAACTACAAACACTTGCCAATTCTGAGGTTATCCTTAAAATTGTCGAATCATTTAATTTTTTAGCTTTCGGGTCCCTCTCAGTCATAAATTAATTTAATAATAAGAATAAGATAAGAGGATAGAGATAAAAATCCAAATGATAAATATGGTATTGTTAAGTGTCAAAGATTCAGATTTCTAATCTTATGATAGCACTTTTTAAATTATGAGGTTAAATAATGTGTCAAACTTACATATTTTAATATTTCAACTTGTCATAACTCAACATCTGTAAATCAGATTGGTTCATAAAATGTACCGTTGGATTCATTTTTTCGAGACCCATTCATAAAATTTAGTTTTAGGCTTTTAGCAAAAAAGTCATTATTTTGAAAAATCCTCTCATTTTTGGTCAAAGGTAAATAGTCTTTATTGGAACAAAATGTTATTTAAAAATACTTTTATCATGTAATAAATTATAGGTCATATTTTGTGGCGTTACATTGTTCTCATGTTCTCATATTTTCCTTTCTATTTTTCGCGTTCTTCATTGAGTGGAATCACTCCCGTAAGTTTTTTAGTGTTAAATACTTATATTCACTCGATAAAGGTGTGCGTTATTTCTAACAATGAGTACCAGAGTACCAGACTAGTGATTTCTTCAAATTTTAGCTGCCAAAAATCAAAAGACCTAAGGTTGGAAGATCATTGAACGAGGAAACCTTTGAAGGCCTATCAACAACTAGGCCACAATTATTTGATGGAACCAACTATGCATATTGGAAGGAGTGTATGAAGATTTGTATTATGACTACAATTCATGGTTGGTGATCTAGCATGAAGACACAGTGTGAATGATCGTTATTGATGGAAATCGAGTTTCAAAATCCCAAAATGAATGCCCAAAAGATGATTATGTATATCGTGCAGCAAATTTCAAAAGTGATAAATTATGTATATCGTGCTCTTAACCTCGATGATTATCATAAAGTTCTAGGTGTGAAATGGCCAACAGGATGTGGAATAAATTGCATGTAAACTATGACGACACAACTTGATCAAGTGAAAGATGTCAAAGTTTTTATATTCGCAGTTTCGCACACGAGTATGAACTATTCAGTGTGAGGGAGAAAGGACACATCGAATATATGTTTGAAACATCCTTCTCTATTCTTAACTACGAAGGCACAACTTGATTCACTATGAGGGCAAATGATGAGTCACTCAAAATTGAGGAAAACACGGATCTTCCACCTGTCATAAGACGCTTCGACAAATTTATTACGAGGTCATTCAGTCCAAAAAAGGGAAACAGGAAGAATACACCTCCAAAATGCTATGAATGCAGAGAGCTGTTTCATATCACCCGTTTTGCCATAGTTGAAGCAGGACAAGGACAAAAAGTTAAAAAAAAAAGAGGAAAAAGTATATCTCGTGAGACAAAGATGCCTCATCTTCTGAAACATCCAACAAAGAAGATGAAGTTGCTAATATATGTCTTATGACTATTAAAGATGAGGTATCATGCATGATGCACCTAATACTACTATTCCTTTATCACCTAGTTACAACAAACTTTACTTAGATGAATTGCATCATGCCCTAGGTGAATCCCTAAAATCCAACAAAGAAGCTAATGATGCCATGGATAGAGCTACATATCTAGAAACTAAGTTAAATGAACTTACCAACGAGATGAAGTACTAAAACTTGAAAATAGTACAATTGGAAATGTTTATGTTGACTCTTCGTGTGCTACCCTTGTCATCCATGAAAAAGAAATTTCTAGACTTAACAAACATCTAGGAAAATTAGACTAGCAAAAAGATTCACTTAATTTTGAAATAGGGTAATTTTAATAGAAAAACATTGCTTTTTGATGAAAACTTTGATAATAAGAGTCACCCAATTAAATTTGTAAAGGAGGTTAATGAGAGTAGTGTGTCCTTAAAGATGCTCTAAGACACCTACTAAAGCAACTGAACAAAGGGTTAGTAATTCCTCTAAAAGGCATAGTAAAACGAGTCCCTATATTATATATCTCGATGTACAATATTTTTACGTATATTAATGTGAATACTCAGTTTCAAGTAATATAATACTTATGTTTTCAAAACTTATGCATTTACAATATATATATATATATATATATATATCATATGCTCATTTGAAAATTTAATATTCATTACATTTATATAGAATGCATATTTACGAATAACACAATATTTATTTCAATTAAAATAATGACTAAAGTACAATAAAAATAAAAATATACGAAACGAGTATTTTTTAATAGAAATGAATATTCGTCCGGGATATACCAAAAATTTTAGTTGGGTGTTGCTTTCTTCTCGCAAAGAACGGATTCTTTTTACATTCCTTCTTTCGATTTTTTATGGGCCACGCTAGGGATACACCAAAATGGTGTACCCCATTTGTAGACCAGGCAAACACACACTAAATATATGTTATCACAGATACTTAGTGTGTGTGTTTTCCTGATGTACAAATGAGGCATACCATTTTGGTGTACTCCTACCTTTATTCTTTTTTATTCACCCCAATATGAATGATGTTGAATAAAATCCCTTTCTATCTTTAGTTTCCCCACTTGATAATGCAGGCTATACGCGGGTGGCAGAAAGGTTCGACTTTGAGAAATTTAATTTCCCAATCCACAAAAATAGGAGCAGTCACCGAACCATTGGCTGCCTATTCCGCCTTTTTCCATTCTACTCCGTTCTATTTGGAGAAGCGGAAGAACAATTGGGGATCCGTAAGTTCATTGCTTTTTTAGATACAAAACGGTAGATATTAAAGTTATTCTTTTATATATTTGAATTCTTGTTCTTAGAGTTAATTATTTCTTGTATAGTTTTTTTTTTCGAATCCTTAGAACTTAGAAGTCATTTAGTTCTTACCCTTTCTCTGCATGGGTAGTATGATAACAGGAAAAGGCTGAATCTTTTACTCAGAGCAATTATATATGGACTAGTAAAAGTTCAAAATTGAGTAAATGCACATGTTTTAGTGCATAATCTATGCATTATTTTTCACTGAACCTTTACAAGTTGAAAAATTTGTCAACCCATACTAACTAATTAATTAAATGAATCCAAAATGCAGTGTTATCCTGATTTAGTAGCATTAGTGCATTAGCATTATAGTTCCATGTGATACGTAGTTCATCCATTGCGTATGGTGCTCTGCCAATGATGCTGAAAGAGTCATATTGACCATGTTTTAGTTTCTAGTAAATTATGGACTAAAATAAAATGGTATATTGAATTTCCTTTCCTTCCATCTATGAAGTTTTTGTTAGTAAATGTAATAATGCATCAAGTGTTTATTGGAACTATGGAAGTAGCCTCTCTCTTTCTCTCTCTCTCTCCCCCCCAGCGCACTTAGGATTATATTGGATTGTTGTTTTGTGTTTGTTGATAAATTAGATTTCATTGCATATTAGTGTGCAGATTGGAAAATCTCAAATGATTGATATAACTAAATGATCTTGCTAATTAGAGTTGCGAGAAAACTGGTTTCTGTCTCAAGGAAGAAGACGAACCAGAGAAACATGGAGATTAGGAAGAGAAGAATTGGAGAGAGAAATGAGGAAATTCACTTGTATTCATTCATAAGTCTACATATCTACATTATGTATCTTGTACTCCCTCCATTCCATATTAAGTGTCTAATAAGACATTCTTGATACTTTAAAAAGTGAATGAATGTAGATACACTTTATGTCTACATTCATTCAATTTTCAATGTACCAAGAATGTGTTATTAGACAGTTAATAGGGAATGGAGAGAGTGTACTACAAAGCCACTAACTAACAGCTAACTGACTAACTTATTATTTGCTCAATTACTAACTAGTAGTTCACATCAGCTATAACATTGCTCCCCCCTCCCCCCCCTCCCAAAGAGACTTATCCTCAAGTCTAATTTGAGACAGGGAAGTTTATATACGTCTCTTGGAAATCTTCAGCTAGTTCCCAAGTGGCTTCAAGGTGACTATAGCCTTCCCATTGAACCAAGTATTGTACTTGGGTCTGTCTATCAAGGATGGCTGCTAGGGTAGAGATGAGTGGGGCTGTAAAGCAAACGAATTCAATAGAATATTATGAAATTTTATTTGCATTTGAAAAATGACAACATTATTCATATTTGTTTTTTATGTGAATAATTATTACTATTCGTATTTGATTCGATATTAAATTCAAATATTCGGTTACTATTCTGTTTTAAATTATAAATTTTAAGTTTTTTTAACGTTTTATAGCTTCAAAAATTATTGCCACACAAATTAATCACTTTGTACTAAAAAAGGCATGTCCACCATAGTCTGTAAGGCGTCGCCTAGGCGATAAGGTGCTGTCTCCTAGACGCCTAGTCTGCTCGCCTCGCCCAAAAAACCTTAAGGCGTTCAGGCGCTTGCCTAGACGTCGCCTTACTCTCGCCTTGACGCCTTTTGTCTCTTTAAAATTTTGAAAAGGCCAATTTTTTAGTGCAGCCCATTTATTTTGAAAGGTTAATTTAAAATGTAAAAAAAGATTTGACTTAAACTTGTGACCTATATATAAATAAATAAATAAATACATACATACATACATATGTGTGTGTGTATATATATACATATTGTATATTTATTTATTTATTTATTTATTTATTTGTATTAACAAGGGAACTTTATTAAAAGAGAGAGGAGTCAGGCGGTTACAAACATGATGGAAAAAAAGAGAGAAAAAAAGACAAACACCAAAATAAAAAATGAAGAACTAAACGCTTTCCATTTCTCCAGAAGTCCTTGATCCCCCACGTTGCGAAGTCTTCATCCTTAATGAGCCATTTCTTGTTCCTGTTTACCCAACACCAGCCTTGAATTTGTTTGAAGCAAAGCTGGATAATGTTGTCTTTGGTTGGAGCTTTCTCTTCATAAATGAATGCATTTCTTGCTTTCCAAATATTCCAAGCAATAACCCCTGGCAGAATTAGTCGTAGACAACCTTTGAAGTTCTTCTCATTTCCAGTAACCCACCAAGCTTTCATATCTTGGCGAAGAGTAAGACCCTGCCATACAGATGGGCCCATAACAAAGGAGCTAAAGTAGTGCCGAACTTGTGTATTAAGGGAGCAATGAAGTAGGGAGTGGTCCAATGAGTCTTCATCCCTTCTGCAGAGAGTGCAGCAACTAGGGAGGGAGTAGCCAAATCTTTGCAAGTTGTGAGGGAATGGTAAGGCTTCGTTTAGAACTCTCCATTGAAACATCTTAAGCTTGGGGATTTGAGTCTTGTGCCAAATGTACTTGCTGGAGGTTAAATTTGGGTAGCCCATTTCCCCCAGTATGAAAGCTCTCTTGAGGGTGAATGAACCACCATCCCATGACATTCCCATCTCATCTATGGAACTGTAGGTCTCTCCAATGTCATTGATTCTGCTGATTCTCTTCCAAACATGAGAGTCTGTTATCCTTTCCTTGATAGTGCCTGACTTCAAGTATTTACCTCTCATGAAAGAAGCCCAAATGCCTTGGTCATTATGGATCTTCCACCATAGTTTCAAGGAGTAAGCTTCTTGAAGTCTTTCAATGTTTTTGAGGCCCAAACCCGCTACCTCAGTAGGTTGGCAGATTGAGCTCCAGCTTTTCCAGTGATATTTAGGTTTACCTTGCTTCTGCCCCCAAAAGAAGTTGGCCATGGAGGAGTTTAGGGCATTGATGATGGATTTAGGGATGGTGTGGACAGCCATAATATGTAATGGGATAGAGGAGAGGACATGTTTGATAGGGATCAACCTCCCCATTTGGTTAATGGTCTTGCTATACCAGGAATTGATGTGCTTGAAGAAATGATCCATCAACCTTGTACAGTGTTCCTTCTTGAGTTTCCCTTTACAGATATTGGCCCCCAGGTAGGTAAAAGGGAGCTTTCCACACTTCATGCCTAGAGGTTTTTCCATGTTATGAATAATGCCTGGAGGTGTCTTACTGTTGGTGTAGAATCTGCTTTTTAAGCTATTTATTTACTGTCCAGAGGCAAGGAGATATATTGCAAGGGCCTTCCTTAGTTTGAGCAGATTCCTGGTTTCTCCCTTGGTAAAAATAATGAGGTCATCTGCATAAACCAGGTGACTAGCAAATTTCACACTCCCAGCATTGAATCTTTGAATATGGCAATTGTCCATGTAGTGGTTAAGTAGCCTGCTGAGACCTTCTGCTCCTAAGATGAAAAGGAGAGGGGAAAGGGGGTCCCCTTGCTTGACACCCCTTGTCATTCGGAAGAAGCCAGTTGGCTCCCCATTGATGATGATGTTGAAATGAGTACCTTTGAGGTTGGCCAAAAGGATGGATATTGAGTTGTCGGAGAAGCCAAAGGCAGTAAGCAGCGTTTCTAGATATTTCCAATCCATTCTGTCAAAAGCTTTTGCCATATCTATCTTAATAAGCAGGTTCCCACCAAATACCTTCTTATCAAGTAGGTGGACAGCTTCTTCAGCCATAAGAATGTTTTCATCAATGGATTTGCCTTGTTGGAAAGCAGCTTGCTCAGGGGAGATGAGTTTGGGCAGGAGCAATTTGAGCCTATTTGCCAATATCTTTGTGTTAATCTTACTCATGAAAGTTGACAGAGATATTCGCCTGAAATCATCAAATTTCTTGGGATTATCTATCTTGGGGATAAGGGATAGCAAGGTGCTGCCGTAAGCCCTAGGGATAGGCACGCCAAGGAAGAATTCCTGGGAGGCTAGAAGGACATCCCTCTTGATAATCTCCCAGCAGTGTTTGATAAAGTTTCGATTAAATCCATCAGGATTCAGGACCACTTGCACTGTTACCATCAAGCTCCCAGACTGATCTTTTAACTTCCTCCAAAGTTGGTAAAGCAGTAAAGAGGGAGTTGTCTTCCAGGGTTATAACCTTTGGGATGAGAGGAATAATTGGCTCAAGAATAGGATTATGATCAGCCTTGTAGAGTTTTTGGAAATGGCTTAGAGTAGCTTCTTTTATCTCCCTGGGGAGGAAAGACCCTTCCCTTCTGTTGAGAGAATATGAGTGATTGAAAGCTTCTTCCTCTTCCCCTCCTGGAAGAGCTTTGAGTTTGCATCCCCTTTGTCAAGCCATCCGATGTTTGCTTTTTGTTTCCAGTACTCTACTTCCTCATTAACTGCTTTTATAAGTTTGGCGTTGGCAAGTTGTGCTGATTCCCTATTGATCTCATTTGGAAAGTTCTCATATTCTACTTGAGCTTGTGGAAAGTTCTCAACTGGGAGGCCAGTTGTTCAGCATCATTGAGTTTGGTGAAAATGTTCCCAAAGACCTTTTGGTTCCATTCCTTAAGGGCTACTTTAGTGTGTTGTAGCTTATTGGCCAATCCCCCCATACCACCCACAGTGGGGTGGGGCTGCCTGACCATGTATCCTTAACCAAATTGTGAAAAGTATCATGAAGTGTCTAAGAGTTCAGAAATTTGAAAGGCCTGACCCCCTAATTCTGGATTTGAGCAATTAAGCATAAGAGCTTTGTGATCAGAATTGGTCCTGGCTAGGTGGGTAAGGGTAATTTTGCCAAAGGAGGCCATGATATCAAGGTTAATCAGTACTCTATCAAGCCTTCTCCAGGTTCTCCCTTTGCTCCTAACGCCGGACCATGTAAAAATACCCCCAACTGGATCTGGGCAAATCAGATTACAGTAGGATATGCATTCATTGAAGTCATCCATACTTTGAGAGCAAGGGATGCATCTGCCCTTAAATTCTTGGGAGGAGGTGATGGAATTGAAGCCCCCCCGGCCCCCAATGATCTAGCGCTTACCCTCAGGGAAAATAGTTTGAAGTTGGTTCCAAAGAAGTCTTCTTTCTCGTACAGTGTGAGACCCATACACTGAAGAGATTAGCAACGGGTTGTTGACAGTGCGTTACTTGTTCTTCTTCCAGGCAGGCAGGTGTTGAGATGAAGAGAGGCCTTGTTCCAAAATATCCATCTCTTATTGTTGAAGGAGTGGAGACAGTTAGAAAAACCCAATTGAAGCCTAAAATGGTCCCGCTGAGAGGCATTGACCATAGGCTCCAGAACACACATAAAATCAACAGCATATTTCCTCTTCAGGAACTTAAGTCTGCTAAGGGAAGAGGAAACCTTACAGACATTCCAGAACAAAAGCTTCATAAGAAAGGGTTGGAGGAAACTCCTTTATTTGATCTACTTCTTGTCAAGACCCCATAGTTTGGAATCTCCCTTCTGCGTTTATAGTATTTGGGAGAGGCATTGAGACCTTGAGCACCTGGAAGTGTCAATAGCCAAGGGCTCAAGTTTTTGATTGAGGAAAGGGGTGTCCCCTTCCCCTCCTCCATCAGAATGGCAAACCAATAGCGTTGTTTCCTTCTCCTGATGTGTTTGATCAGAATAGGGTTCCCATTGTGGAACCATGGTGCTGTTGAGAAAACCATCATCCTTGCTTCCTGGACGATAGTATACTTCTTCTGTGGGAATGAAAGTCTCATGTTTATTAACATCTTCACTGCATGGGACGTAAGGAATAATCTCCATGCATTTATGCCTGTCATTAACCTCCAGATAGGTCAAATCAGGGAAAGAGTTGAGCTCCTGGTAAGGGTTTGGAGATTTTGCATGGGGAGCTGTAGTAAAGGACGTGTGAGGCCTATCCAATACATGAGGTTGTTCCTCGTTATTGATATCCTCAATGATAGGCATAAAATCCTCCCAATGTTGTGATGGACCGTCCTTTTTGGATGCTTGTTTGAATCTTCTTGGTGCTTGGGAGGTGGTGGGACAGTGATTATTTAGGACATTTTTGTCCATTTCTCTTTGTTTGGCATTCTTGGAAAAGGTTGTAGGCTGTTGATGGGAAGGCATCTGCAGGATCTGACTAGATGGGCCCCTACCTCTCTTATCATGTTTTGCTTTATGCACATGTCCTCTTCTCCTCACTATTGTTCCGGGGAAGTTTTCCGGCATTGTCTTAAATCATGGCCAAAACGTTTGCATTGGTTGCAATATGATGGATGATTTTCGAATGTGCATGGGAGCCAAAGGTCACAGTCACTGAGACGAACGTGAAGTTGTGGAGGTTTTGCGATTGAGACATCATCTCCACGAAAATGCGTGCTTTATCTGGTCAAACTCCAATGACTGAGTTAAAGTCCAGTTTCAGAGGCCTGCCCATCGTTGAAGCAATGGAAAATAGTGCCTTATGGCCGTTTAGGTGAAGAGGGAGATTGTTCACCTCCATCCATATAGGGATGATGGCTGAGTCGCATGATGGGTTGTGGTCCGGTGTCCATTTACAGATGGTGATGAAGCAACCTTGGATATTCCATCTTCTCCTATGGAACCGCCGGAGATAATCATCATCTCTCTTGGAGATAAAGACAATCTCGTGTGTTTGAAGCCTCCTGAGCTTGAACTCCTTGAAGCCACCTTAAACCAGGAATTGTTCAACATCTGCTAATGGGATCTTCTTGCTGCATCTGCCCACCAGAGTATTGTGCAATTTTCCGGCCAAAACATCCGCTTCTTCTCTGCTGAACATCACTGATGGAGCTCCTTTGTAGAAACTATTGACCTTGCCTGGTATCCCACTAGTCTCCATCGAAGAGGTCGGAGAAAAGAGGTTTCCGATTGAGGTGCAGTTGGGATTCCGGTGGTTTTCCGGTTGCCGGAAAGTAAGAGAGAATCTGCCATTCTTATATATATATATATATACACACACACAGATACATACATACATACATACATACATACATACATACATACATACATACATACATACATACATACATACATACATACATACATACATACATACATACATACATACATACAT